GCAGGAGGGAAAGCAGAAGCCCATCCCTGCATGAAAAATGAGAGAAATGAGGCATGCATTCACCACCAAAAGAAAAAGGAAAATTCATGTGCTGTGAACACTTACCCTGAAAATCTTTGCTCTAGTCTCACTGTGACAAATGGAATTGTAAGCAGAAAATTAGTATGCAAATAACTCTAACATATTTCAATGAATTCTAGAGAAAAGAATTCATTTCTAGTATTGGCAGAATTCAAACCCTTTCCATAATTTTTATTAAATGAAACAGCATCTAGCACAGTACTTGTTACATGAGAAGTATCCAATAAATGGTATTTTGATTCCTCTAATTGGCCTCATAAATATGGAGTCATATATTAAAATCTATATGCATTGACTGTAGTGACTGAGATAAGGAGAATCTTATACTTTAAAATTATAGAGAGAATCTAAATTAGAAAACAAATGGCTAGAGATAAGCCAGCAGAGACTGCAAGTGATAGCATTTGCATAAACAGGTGAAACACTTAGAAGGTGGCCTGATAACAGAGTGTTCTACATTAGATCTGTTCAGTAATATCTAATAAAGCCTCCAAGAATCAAGGAGAGCCAGCCAAGGAAATTCTAGGAAATGTTAGCTTGACTGGCTACACATGGATGTGCTTACTAATTCCTGACTTCTTCTTAATAATTTATTTTATTATAGAACAGTTCAACTGTACAGAAAACCTGCAAAGAAATACAGAGAGTTCCTGTACACTCCTCATTCTATTTTGCCTCCTACTATCTCACCTTACTATGGTACACCTGTTACTACTGAGAAACCAACACTGCCAAATTACTACTAACTAAACTCCACAAGTTGCTCAGATTTTAATAGCTTTTCCACTAAGGTCCCTTTTTTGTTTCAGAATCCATCCAGGATACAGCACTTAAATCATGCCCCATAGATTCCTCTCATCTGGAACAGCTTTTCAGTTTTTTGGTTCTTCTTGACCTTGACATTTTTGATCAAGTATTTTGCAGAATGTTCCTAAACATGGATTTGTACAATGTTTTCTCAGTTTTACTCAGATTATAAGTTCAGGGGAGGAATATGACAGAGGTGCAATGCCCTTCTAGTATATGATGGAGTGCAAACTATCGACATGACTTCTTTCTGATGACAGTAACCTTGACCAGCTGGCCGGGGTGCTTTTTCTCAGGTTTCTCCACTGGATACTTTTTTCCCATTTATACTCTAATAGTATAGCCTACATTCAAATGGGGAAGCTTAAACTCCGCTTCCTTATCATAGCAATTGATAACTAAGACTGCATATAAATTATTTGGGAGTCATTTATAGGAAAGATATACCTATCTCTTCTCTTATTTTCTTATTTATTCACTTATATTTGTATGGATTTATAGATATTTACTTTATACTTTTAATTACAACCCAATTCTATATTATATATTTTGTGGCTCAAATTGTTCTAGCTTTGATCAGCTTTCTTTGTTTTTATTTTTTGTTTCTTTCTTTGGACTGAAGCCTGATGACATACAGCATTTTACATTGGATCTGTTTCCCTACAAGCAGTAGAGCTCAGACAAATGAGGAGATGGTTAAGTGACTCTGTACTGGGGTTTGGGGAGACATTAGCCTCCAAAATCTCAGGCCTGCAAAAGACTTCGAATGATATGGAACATTAATGGAGAAAGGAACTGTGGCTTGTCTGTGTCCTGGTGACCCCACACATCTTGGCTCTCAACCATGGCCATTTTCACACCTCAAGCAGGAGACAGGGCGAAAGGGGCTTGTATGCAGGTCACCTCTGGGTTCCTTGATGATAAGAGGATGACTGCTGGGCCCCCTGTTTTGTGTCTTGCTATAAAGTCATCAAAATGTAGTATTAGATCCTATTTGTGTCTTTTATGTCTGATGCCAACTTGAAGCACAGCTGTGCGACTGCATAATAAGGCTGACATTTAATCTTTCCCTGTCCGGCTCCTTTAATTCCCTAACTGGGAAGGGAAAGAAGAAGTATTCATTATTGCCTCCCTAAAGTTCCAACCTCTAGGAAGAATCTTCCTTCAGGTTATAATCTGTGCACTTTCATCTTCACAGTAAAATTGGGAGGCAAAACAAACTGCACACATGGAAATCCAGCACTGTCAGATCCATTAAATCTTCACATAACATGTAGAATGACAAAATTTCTCTAGTGTTGCTCCTTTAGTAAAGAACATATGAGTCAGGTATGGTGGCACGGGCCTGAAATCTCAGCACTTCAGAGGCTGAGGCTGGAGGATCACAAGTTCAAAGCCAGTCTGAGCTACATAGTAAGACCTTGTGTCAAAACACAAAAACAAAGCACATGAACAAACAAAAAAACAAAACATGACTCCCTAACTAGAAAGAAGGAGCTATTCTTCCATGATGATGATCACTGTGAACAACATGGCCCATGGCAGAGGTTAAGATTGAGTGCACCAATGACAGTGCCACTCTAACTCAGGGAGGCTATTCTCTGAGGAGGGGCAGAGCCATCAGTTGTCACAGGGTTTGCTTTACCACTTCATGAAACATCTCCTTCATGACTGCATGCACACAGCCCCTGGGAGCCACAGAAAGATAATTTGAGCAAGGTTTTTGAGGAGGTTCTCACAGCCATGTTAGTACATCAAAAAGGCAAAACTTGACCCTTTCAAGTGATAACAGGAAAAACAAGAATAGAAAGAACCTGATAAAAAGTGACTCTAATGGCATTCAATCATAGTGCTGTGCTAAGGGTTTTTTAAATTCAAGTTTTAAAAAATTGCTCTAGAGACCACAAAGTTTATGTGTACATTTCCAAGTGATGCTAACATTCCAACAGTTGGAGAGTTTGGATCTCCTCTACCTTTCCTCACCAATGCTCATCAGCCCTCCTGGTTTTAGCATGTTAATTGGTTCTGACACATGCAACTGTTCCCTTCCCATTTCCATCAGTCTAACAGATTAGATCACTTGGCTTACTAATGACTTGCCACTTACTAATGGCATGAGTCCTGGAATAAACCTCAGCAGAGGGTCTCTTCTCACCTTCAGCCAAGCTTGGTCTTGAAATGCTTTGAGAGCTACAATAACAGCACAGAGGAACAATTTAATTTGCTGAATTATCCAAAAGTATATAATTTGGAAATAATGAAGCACTTGAAATCTATGACTATGCTCAAAGGAAATGGACAACCTAGCACAATTTACACAGACTACTCAACAGACTTCATCCCTTTTTCTATACTGTGTAAAATGTTAAAAGTTCTATCCCTTTTGTTGTACATAAAGAAACCCTTTCCTATGCATAACTCAATGTTTTTCATTTCTACTCTCTGCATGACCCCATACACAGATGGACCACCAAACCACTTGCTCCTGATGACAGATTCCAGGGAGTGACCTCATTTTGGCAATCTACTAGACTTAGGAATGCAGCACCATATGGATAAGGAAGCCAATTATTCAGAGGACGGATGGCCTCAGGTTTCCTCCCAGTACTTCAAAGCAGGCCATTTGCCTCAGCCCAACAGCATTTCAGGCAGTGTGAGCCCCACTTAATGGGCCTGGCAAACAAAACCTGGTTCTGTGTTTGGCTGACTCATCCACAGAGCATAGCACACTGCAGCTTCCTGAGCAAGCAGGAAGGAAGAAACAAAGTCCAAATGGATCAGTAAAAGCAGGAGTAGCTTTCTTTTCCCACATAATTTTAAGTTATAAATGGGGGTGGAGTAAACATAGAGTCATTTTACTAGAGAAATAAATAAAATATTATTATTATTATTTTTATATATAAAGTATTTATTTTTATGCACATATTTACCTACAAAATTTACAGAAAATGAAACAAAGCAGAATATATAGGATACCCTCTTAAGACTTCTTAGGAGCAGAGGGTTTTATTGCTGCAGTTCAAAGAATAAAATTTTATACATGTGAAAGCTAAGATGAACAAATCTAAGTTAAATGGCAGCCTTGTTAAAAAGTTTCTGTCCTATTATTGAAATTTCAGCTTTATGTTAAATCAAATGTAAAAGGTTGCTCATGAAATAATTTAAACCTTTTCAAAATCTTCTAATAAACAAGTAAAAGGCACCTCCAGTACTTTAAAATATTTACAGTGATCCCAATAGTTTAATTTTAAGGGCTATTATAATACACATGGCTGTTATGCATACACAGTATGTCATTAACACTCTCTAATAGTGAGAATTGCAGACTCTAGTTTGTGGCATGGCTCCCATGTCACCCAATGATGGAGTGGGACGATCAGTCACACCAGGTCAATACTAGTGTAAGAGCATGTCTACCACAGCGTAAAATCCAATTACCTAAAACAATGACCATCAAATTCCCAGACAATACATAATTTAAACTTGTACATTCAGAAGACTTTGGGTGTTCTTAAAATTCTTAAAAAACATATAAAGTATACTTAGCGTTAAATGAAAATAATGAACTAAATATAAGCACAATAGTTGCTGGAGTTTAGTATCTGGTTTAACAAAAATTGTTTCTCAAAACATCTATAATTTCTTACAACATAATGGAGATGAGTTTCCTCAGTCTAAGTGGAATCCGATGTTTTTCCTGCAGTACAATTAAAAGACGAGTAAGAATGAAAGGCACACATAATGGCCGGTTTTAAAGAGCTGTGGAGACGGCAAGCAGATGTTCTTGAAATACTGGTGCAGGAGAACGAAGTCCACACAACATTTTACTCCGTTTAACATTGGTATTGATTTGCTATTTACAGTAGTTTGCAAAAATACATTATAAAAACTGAATGAGGTTCGGTTTCTAAGTTTAACTTAGTAACACATATATACTTCATCTACAAACACCTTTGCAGGAGCTGAAGTACTAAAGTGACACTAATACTGAACACAGGTAATCAAAGGTACCAAAGCACTGATAACTCAAGTCATCATCATCAAGATAATCTGGGTAAATATTGCACACTGCTTGTCAGTTGTTGCTATAACTTTCACATACCCAACTGCAAAAGGAATCCTTTATGGCTTTTTGCTGTATCACTTATTTGAAGAGAGACTGTTTTAGGTCCCATAACAATGAATGCAGAATGTCATTGAACGTGAGGCCTAGGTTTCAAAATTAGTTTCCCTGTATCATCACAAGACATATTGTACTCTGCTAATACTGTTCGACATCGAGCGGCTATAATTGATGGTGCAACTACTCTCCTGTGTATTCCAGCAAAGAACAAGCCTATTAGAGTGATACAGCTAATAGTGAAAAATGGGTGATTCCATAATAATGTGAAGAAGGACACCTTTTGTGCCTCAGGATCTATTAACCAGTTCCAGGCACCAGTAGCTGTACAGACAGAGACCACTATAAGAAGCATTCTCCAATGTCCCGTGGCAGGTTGCAAGCAATGAATATACTCAGTAAGTCTTCTCTCGAAAGCCTTGAGATCTTCCGCCTGCTCCAGAGAGTTCATGTCGGGCGGCAACTCCAGTCACCGCCATGGCTCTGTCCACATCGCAGCCCGCGGCCCCCGCCCGGCCCGCAGCGCCAACTCCCACCGCTAACCGCTCCCCTCCGTCCCTCCCCGTCGCTCCGCCCCTTGCTTCAATAAAAATATTAAATGAAAGAAGGAGGACTGTCACAAAATCCACAAAAGTATATAAAGAGCTACACAAGACAGCTGTCAAATGATTCTGCTCAGCAATGGTATGCTTTCATCCCAAATTTACTTTTTGTTATTAAATGCCATTCATAAACCTTTCTAAGGCCTTTGATGAGAGAAATAATATGCAATGCTTTCCCCAAGTTTGGCAAGAATTTACTTCAGGAAACCAACTAGGTTGCACATTTGGAAGGCGGAGACTGAGAAAGTATCATTTCCTCCTACAAGTTTTGAAGGTATCTTGGATATATCAAATTTAAAAAGAAAAAGAAAAGCACTTGATTTTTGAAAGATACCAACAAAGTCAGTTTTATTTTCCTGCTGGAGATCAGCTATAGAGAGTTCTGGATTTTAGATAAAGGGCTGTGTAACTATAGCTGTTGAGTTGCTCACACACCTTAGCAGCCTGTTTGAAGCAGGGACTAACCAACACAGCCAGACTGTGTCCACTAGAGGCCAGAGTGAGACTATCATGGCCAGTGCTGTGGAGGCCCTTCCTGATTCCTGGTGAATGGATACAGATTTAAGAGTGTCAGTGACCAACACCAAAACTTTCAGTGGCATGCCAACAAAATGCATTTCTGAATCTCTTGCGCAGGTTTATTCTACATCTAAATCAGTGGGCAAAGGAGTACCTGCAGGGCATCTGTCATCAGGAATCTGACACTGCATTGAAAACTCAGAAAGGGGAACAAATATAGGTAGTTCTTTCCTGAACTCTAGGAAAGAGGAAAGGAAAAAAAAAAAAACTTGGCAGGATACACGTATTGGCAATAGAGGGGCCTCGATGCAAATGTATGTCCTGTACTAGAGACAGGACAGGAGAGCAGAGAAATGGACATCCACCATGCCTCAGCCTAGCACATCAATGGGAACTGGTCAAATCCATGCAGCTCATGCTCAACACAGAACACAATATAGTCACTTGGAAAGGAGGAGGACCTGTCTGGTTCTGGAAAGACCCCTAAGATATGCATAAATTAGAAGACAGTAGACCATATACACTTTAATGATGGCATTTGTGTAAATTTGTTAAGGATGTGTATGAGTACATATGCAAACACACACACACATAGAGACATGCATGTAATTCTTCTGAGAAGATACACAAACAAAAATAACAATACTCCCCGCTACAGCCCTTGTAGTTGCTGCTGCCCTTGTTTGAGAGGGTCCTTCCCCAGACCCTCCCCTCTGTTCTTCACTCATCTCAATTAGATGCTCCTGACCATCAGATTTAATGATGGGGAGAGACGATGGGGGCAATGTAAATAATGTACAAAATAAGACTAAACGGAACTGTCACTACTAATACCCCCCTTATAATGAATAATCCTAAAAAATTTATAATAAAAAATTAAACATAACACTACTGTATTCCTTTGCTAATTTACTTTCCTCCAGAAAATGTATCCCATCTTCCATAGTTTAAGGTTTGTCATTAACTTGTAGGTTTTATTTTCTGTCTCACTCCTCCGCAATACACACTCCTTGAAGACGGGTATATTTATCTCTTGTTCATTGCTATATACTAGTGTTTAAAGCAGTCACTGTCTGCTCATAGTAGAGCCTCAACATATTTCTTACATGAATTAAGTCATGTCCCACATTTTTGTTTCCTGAAGTGAGAAAAGAGTTAGAAAGTTACCTAAGGTCACCAAGGCAATGATGCTGAAGCGAAGCTGCTGCTCTGAATATGACCTCCACTTGGTTTTGCTTCAGAAGTAGTCCAAGGACTAATGGGCAACTCACCTCTCTTAGGCCTTAGAGCTCAGGATTTTGTATTTGAGGGCTTTCACTATCTGGAGTAAATTTAACCAAAATTCTAACTGAGGAGTGCAGCTCTGAGACCCTTGATGGAAAGAGGAACTTCTTCCTCAGAAGGCCATATGTTTCATCTAAGGACATGGTTTTGGAGATGCTGGAGAAGCTGGTAAAGTCACCTGCTTAGCAAGTCAGACCAGCCTCATCTACCCTGGCTGCTGATGGGAGGAAAGCTGTCTCAGAAAGGCTGCAGAGTATCTCCACCTGGGATGCAATCATCCTCCACACAGCCCCCCTGATTCAGCCACAGTGTACAAAAAGTTGCAGCAGAATGACAAGCAACAGCCATTTGGGATTCTTAGCAGAAAGGAAAGTACATTGATATCATCATATTTTGCTGAAATAATTGTGAATTGTGCCTTGGAAGTACAGGATGCTTGTTATAATTTGGATCTTAATCATCCCCAAAGTCCATGTGTTGAAGACTTGGTCCTCTGCTGAAGGCATTATTGTTAGGTGGTGGAACCTTTCTGCAGGAGGGGGGCCTAAGTAGAAGGAAGATAGATCGAGATGGTGGGCTTGCCCTTGAAGGGGGATATTCAGACCCTGGCCTCTCGTGTCTCTGTCTCTGTCTCTCTCTCTCCTCTCTCCTTTCTCTCCCTCCCCCTCTCCCACTTTCTTCACTTCCCAGCCATGATGTGAGCAGTTTTGCTCTACCACGTACTCCCTGCCATGGGGCCAAGTGGCTAAGGACTGAAACCTCTAAAACCATCAGTGAAACTAAATCTTTCATCCTTTTAACTTGTTTATCTGTGGTATTTTGTTAAGCAAGGGAAAGCTGATTAACATGATGCCAGAGCTTGAACACTCTCTTTGCAGAATCCTGCTAATGGGGATACTCCTAAATGTTAACTGGATTCTGAAGACAACTACTAATCAATCTATCCCTATTTCAGAATTTAAAAAAATACAATCCTGAGAAACAGTTTAGAGTAAAGCAGGTACTGTCATAATGATCAATATGCAGCAGTTGAGCTAATTATAAATATTAATGGATTTTTTTCTACTTCTTCCTTATTACGAATTGGATACTTCCTAGAGATCTAACTTTTCTTGGTATGTAGATAAGGAAAATTACTTGATATGAATTGATGCTTGATCTACATTCTCTTCAGTTCTATTTTATTTATTGTTTTGTGTTCTAGTTCAAATACTTTAGCTCTTAAATGCATGAATATATACAATAGTATCTGTCTTCCCACATTAGCAGACCTTAGCTCTTATTTATCACATGAGCTTAAGAACAATGTTTAATTTCTAAATTTGTATAGATTAGAAGAAATATTGTGAAACAAAAAGACATGAGTAAGGCATTTACAATGATTCAGGGATGAGTAGTTGATGATAACAAAGAACAAACAGAACTATAATTGATATTCATAAGTAACAATTATCACCTATGTTCAACTAGGATCAACACATGTTGCAATTGTAGAAAGCTTTCTAATGTATTTTAGAAAAGGAAACTTAGCAAGAGATGGCATTAAAAGACATTTCATATACATTACCTGTATATGAAAATTGCTAAAAGATTAGATTTTAAGTGTTCTTACCTTAAAATATATGTGAGGTAAGACATGTTAAATAGTTTGATTTAGCTGTTCCACTATAAACATAATATTGTATACCTTATACATATAGACAATTTTTACTTGTCAATTAAAAAAAGCAAACCAACAGGCAAATGGAAAGCAGTGAGTACTTGAAAGAAAAAGATGAACCCATCTGGATTATTCTCTTTAAAAGTGCCAATTATTAACTCTTAAAGCTAGCAGAATGGAAGTTATTGTAAATATGTAATCTATATGTATTTGCATAATATATTCCATATATATAATAGATAGATGAACGATAGCAATCAACTAAAAGTGACAATGAGTTCCAACAAAATTTGCATTTGTTTATTCAATAAATAAATATTAAACACTTCTTAAGTACTAGGCAGGTACTGATTCCTAATGAGCTACACAGACTTGACCCTTGAAGACCCTCTTTACATTCAATTTCATTATATTTTAGATTAGTTGCCTGAAAGAAAAATGGTGCCTTGAGATCAAGAAGACAAGTAGGTCAGATTCGGATTGAGGGGCTTGAGTCCTAAAGCAAGTTCGACCTAAGTAAGTGAGAGGCTTGCAGTGGGAGGGCACTCCAAGCAGGAATATTGTGAATTGTGCTAGAGAAGTGAGGAAGATCCTATGGCTGGAGCAAGAATGAGGAGAGATGCAGGTACGACCACTCTAAGTCCCAAAGAATATGTTAGTGAGATAAGATTTTGTTCTTTTTAACAAGAGCAATGATAACCCATCACAGAGTGACCTTCTAAGATGTTTAAAAATATCACTTGGAGGGCCATGTGGAGAAGAGAATGGGAATGGGGGTACTTACGGGAGAAAAGGTATGAAGTGCTGTAGTCCTCCAAGGAGAGCTGATGATAAGTGGGGAGGAAGAAGTTGAGTAGCTGTATTAAACAATACTTAATAGGTAATAGCCAACATAATCTGAGGATGGGACAAATATGAAAGGTGAGGAAGAGGAGGAGTCAGGGGAGACTTTGGTTCTGCCCTGGGCAGTTATACACACAGGGGTGGTAGACAAGAGATGGAGGACACTACAGAGGGTAGAGGCTATTGTGGGGTGAGCATGGAGGCTAATGAATGTAGCTTCTACCTGTCTACCTGCGACTACCTGTCGCAGTTATTGTGAATCATTTCACTGGACATGCCAGTTAAGAAGGTGAACATGCATATCTGCAATCCTCTGTACAAGATGTAAGGATCAAACCCTACACTTGTGCTCGTCATGGATCCTAAGTACCAAGGGGAATGACAGATTTCTTATTGCAGAGCTAACGCATCGGTGGGGGAAAAAAAAACAAAAGAGTGTCCAAGAAAAAGTGCTTTTGATAAGTTTCTTTTCAGAGAATCAAACCACTCACACTTTTCAAAGACACTGAATGAAACAAAACTAATGTATCTATGTCATAAAGT